TTTATATATTTTATATTTTAAAATATTATTTTTGTAAACATCTATATATAAATTATTGTATATACAATATCATTTAAAAAGAGCAATAAACTTTTTTTCAAATTATTATTATTATTATTTGTTTTTAACACTAAGGAATATTTCCGAGTAATTGATTTGCTTGAAAAATACTCTGGAATGGACAAGTAGCACATTCTGATTGGAAGAATAGGTATCCTCTCCACTCATTCTCTCTCATCACACACACTCACGTCTTCTCTTTCAGACTTACTCCTTCCTCGAGCTCTTCAATCACACACCCAGAAGAAACAGTTTTCTCTGCATAGATCCATATCTTTTATTGAGTGTTGGAGTGCCAAGTTGGGGACCAACTCCGATCTCCAGCTAAGCACGCTTTCCTGTTTTGCAGGTTTCCAGTGTCCACCTTAGTGCAACCTTCAGCCGAGAATCCTGCCTGCCGTTTTTTGGTGACAACAACAAGACTCCGCAGTGAACGGAAGTTACCCCCAGCAACAGCTGCCCTATCCTGTAAAGTGTAAACACTCAGCCGCCACAGGCTGCCGGTCCAAATCAACATCGTATATATGTCCAATTATTACATGCTGAAAATTCAGTGCCTCAGCATCAACGAGGTGACAGCAGCATTCGCTGCCCTGGGTGCGCGTTCCCCTGAGCAGAGAGCCAGGTTGGTGCTAGAGGAAGTTGATCAAAATGGTGACAGTAGCACAAGCATAAGTACTCCGGATGAGATGAACGTCCTGTTATATATTTTAATTAAAAAAATAACCAACCGTTTATGCCTAGTCCGTTACAAATCCAATGCTTTCAAAACATAAATTTGTCAAGTAACTCATCAGTTACATCCTATATTTTTGAATCAGCCAATTTATATTTACTTAGCTATTTCAAAAGAGATCCATGCGCTTTATTTTAATCGAACGGCAACAGCCATTTATTTAAAGAATTTTTTTCAGCTTCATCAATTTCTTGAATCCATGCGTTTTTGTTTTGAAGAAAGAATCCATGCTTTTTTTGTCTTATTAAGAGGTCCCATGCGTTTCAGCTTTTCAAATGGCTTAAAGCAATATGTTAGTGCATCAGTTTCAAAATATTATTTTGATAACCGGAAAAACATTCATTCAAATTTAATATTTTGTTTCCTTCGGTTACACTGTGAAGGCCTATATAGGCAGCCTCCATGCTTATCAAAGGCTGATACTTTTTTCTGCATTTTACACTTTTATTCTAAAAAACACAGTATACAAACTCTTTTTTGGGTAAAGGAAAAGTTGGTGGTGCAGAATTTTCTTTGCAAGAGTGCAATACTTGTAAAGACACAACAAGAAGGTTGAGCTGTTGTATCCTGAGGGCGACGTGACCATAAAAATCTGCTGCATTAGTGGCACAAAACGTCCTTAAAAAAGTGATTGATTCACGCCTCAACTCAATCTCCTTATACTTTCGATGAGATCTTTTTACTTTTTATTTTCATCTTTAATTAATTATTTTTTACAAATCTTTTATCTATTTTTCTTCTATTTATTTTACGAGGAACAACAAGTCCTCGTTGGCTACACTATAAATTAAGTATTTTAATTTGTCAAATATTCGATTGCTCAGTGGCCCGTATCGGTTACTCGGTTTCTGTGCTGGGCACCGAACACCTACCCAATTTGGTTCGGTCTTGGACAAAACCTGAGACTTTGGGCCGGAAGTCCGTTTTAACCAACCTAAAGCCCACATTTCGATACGGTTTTCAGGCCACCGATCGGGCCGGTTTTTTTTTGCTTAGCCCTCTCTCCTCTCTTGCTTCGCGCGCAGCGGTAGTGCTAACTCCGGTTTTTTTTTTGGTGGTCAATATTGATGCATTTAATTAAAGGGACAATTTGTCAAGTCATTTTTTTTAACTTGTACGAATTGGGGGTTGGAAAAATAAGATGGTCAATATTTAACTTTTAAACTCTTAAATACTATTATTATTTTTAAGAGAATTATGATTATTGAATTATAATATTTATTGACATTAATTTTTGAGATCATAAGTTAAAATTAATAAATAAATCATGTATCATTTACCAAAAATAAATAAATATGCATTAGCATATTAATGAAACGTC